GTCAAGTATTATAAACAATGAAATGTCACCTGATGTTTTGCAAAATAGCATAGAAAAAATAGCTCAAGGAATGAATGGGAGTAAGACTTATGGCTGTAAGCAAGAAAAAAGGCTTAAACATTCTAGATTTAAATGCAACTTATTGGGAATTTTACTCACTTTTTACATTTGATTTTCCATTCGAGTTGTGTAAAACTATGTGATACTGACAAGTTTCTACTGTATAAATTATTCCGTCTCATCTCCAACACAGAATTAAGAGCCCTTTGTCAGTTTCGCACTTTTCATTTTTAAGAGTAGGAATGTCTTAACACCCCGCCCCCATCCCCACAGGAATATATGAATGAATACGTGCCCGCAGGTACACACTAGCCTTGAAGTGTTAAAACAGGCACCACTGTAACTACCTCCCACTCCAAACTCCCTAACTCCAGACTCCACCCCACATAAGCTCCCTCCCCTTTCTCCCACTGCGGGTCCGGAGTTGGCGCAGCTAGATGACGCAAGGCGTAACCGCCGTAGCCGCCTACGTGTAGCTACTGTCTCTGCCTCTGGGAGTTGAAGTTTCCGAAGGGACTCGTGCGCGGGATCAAGACCACTCCAGAAAGGCTTTCTGCGTGCGCTCTCACGTTCCCCGACAACTACTTAGCTGGGTAAGTCTCCTGGCACTGAGGCTGCCGCTCGCCTACCCTTTGGTATCTTCCGGCCGCAAAAGGGGTGCGACCCGATGCCGCCCTCGACTAACAACAGGGGCTTCCGGGGAAAGGGGCGTGGGGCTGTGCAAGTGGCGGCGGCGACCCTGGTCCCGAAGGAAGTGACGTCAGACACCGCGCGTCCCCGCGGCCCGCCAAGCAGCTCCCTGATTCGCTGGCTGCTGCTTAGTCCCGCCTCTGGAGTGCCTTCGCCGGCAGGTGGCCTGGAGGCAGAGTGGGGCGAGGTTCCGCCGTCCGCGGTGGGGTACTTGCGGTCGACGTTTGTTTGGGGGTCGGGATCTGGTCCCTAGTGTGGGAAGAGTGTGAGTTTCCAAAGAATGAGGGAGAGGGAAATCTGCACTCTGAAGGGCCGGAAAACGAGCTGTGGGTGTGCTACTTGGTAGCTAGAGACCGTGGGCAAGTCGCTCTAACCTGTTCCTGCAGCGAGGGGCTGCGGCGGCCGAGCGCTCCGGGCTGTAGGGAGCCCGGGGCCGCGCTCTGCAGGGGCCGTCAGCCCCGCCGTGTGCGCCGAGGACGGTGCCGGAAGACCTCGCTGTTCCTTGACTTCAAATCGGGACTTTTTCTAGAGAGAGAGAGGATAGCGACAGATGACTTTCCCTCTTGCTGTTTGTTTTTGAAATCCCGCTGCTCTCCCCGCAGCCCTCCGCCCAGGGGCCTGACCGCTGACCCCAGCGCTCGCCCCTGCGCATGTGGCCGGCGCGTTATCAAAGGGTATTGCTTCTCTATCGCTGTCAGCTCATTTACCTCCGTTCTGCAGTTCATCCAACATTCGGTTGGATCTTTCTGGAAGGGAGACTGTCATAAATTATGAAGACTGTTTATTTTAGCCCAGTCAATAAAATCCATGAAAGTTATTTTGCTTTGTTCCTGAACATTTCTTTTGGCCATTCACCGACTTATGTGGTGTTTCCCCTCTGCCAAAAGCTGTGCTAAGGGGCGGAGATACAACGAAGATTGAGATCGTTTTTACGTATTAGGCCCACACCAAATGGCCTTAGTCATCGTCATCCCGTTCTGTTTTGTAAGACCATCTGATAACCTATTTCTGTGACTAAATGAACCAGATTTTTTTTCTATGCTAAAGTAAACTAAATTTCACACAAATATTTTTATAACTGCTACAAAATGTCATTCTTAAATGTCGGTTGGACGTGGTTGAATGAATGAAAATGTACAGTGAGCGTCATTGTATGTGAGAGAGGAACGCAAAACTCTCTGCCACGGAGCTTATAAACTGTGGCCAAAACTAACATAAGAAGCAAGCATACCTAGTAAAATGCCGCATTTTGCTGAACAGGTGGCTGAACAAGCTAGTGCATAGTGAGATGCTTATTGTAGAAGCAGTGGGAGTTGGTACACATCTTTGTATATAAAGTGTGCGGTGAACAATAATTTATAGGATCTCAAGCCAGCATCATTTTTCTTGTATTCCGTACTTCAATGTATCTAGCTTATTCAAAGCTTAAAAAAGATTCACTGCATTTTCTTAATTGGGAATGGCTTCAAAAATAATAGTGATAATGATGTTGACTAGCTCATGACCTTTCCTTGTGTTTGATAGGCTGTTTAAAAAGATTAGTATGCAATGATAGGCCAAGTTAATTTAACTTAGACTTCTTAGATGGGAAAGGCAAAAGCTCCCCCTGGTGTACATGAGTAAAACATTGCTATACATTGCTTTTTAAAATTTTCACAGTATAGAGCCAATCAGCACTTGCAGTTTTGAACTTAATAGGGAACTAGCAAAAAACGATGCCAGTGATGAAAGGAAATGTTCGTTCTTAGAATATTAATCATTGTTTTGTGAAGGGAGCAATTTGTTTCCTGTGAATTTTAATTGTGCTTTTAAGTTTGCACATTTAATCTTAATAGATTAGCTTATGTTTTCTTCACCCTGTATTGTTTTGGATACATACATTGCTGACTTTTACTTAATGTACTATCTATGAAAAGGAAGTAAAATTTTATTTATTTATTTTTTTTTTAAAGATTTTATTTATTTATTTTTCCCCAAAGCCCCAGTACATAGTTGTCTGCCATAGCTGCACATCCTTCTAGTTGCTGTATGTGGGACGCGGCCTCAGCATGGCTGGAGGAGTGGTGCCTCGGTGCGCACCCGGGATCCGAACCCGGGCCGCCGGCAGCGGAGCGCACGCACTTAACCACTAAGCCACGGGGCCGGCCCTAAAATTTTATTTTAATATAATAAAATTAATAAATAATTTTAATTAATTTAATTTATTTTAATTGTAATCCTGGGGATCACAATATATGTTTTAAAATTTTCTTCCTCCTAATCTTTTCAGGCTTAATTGAGTTTCCCCTGCCTCCCATTTCTTAAGTTGAGTGCTTACCTCATCTTCCAGCTTTTTAAAAAAGAAATTTCATGAATGCACTCAAGGCTATATGTTTATCTCCAATTACCTTTTTGTGTGTATTTCTCTCATCCTCTTATTTACATTTTTTAACTGCTCCAACATAATGCTTTTTCATTCTCTTTCTCCGTCTGAATTCTGAGTCAGGTTGTCAGGATGTCTTCTAATTCGTCAGTTACTTCTTGAATGCCAGGCAATCTGGAGTTTGTCTCATCTGTTGAAATTTTTATATCTTCATTTCCTAGTTTCCAAATTGGTTCTTTTTCATGTATTCTTGTTTTGCCTGCTTTTGTGTCCTAATTTCTTGTTTTGTTTCTACGGTTCTTACTCCTTATGATCTCTGAAAGATTCCAACCAAACTTATTTTAAAGTCATTTTCACATTGCCCTATTATTTTCAATTTGTGTAGAGTGAATTTATCTCCTGATTGTTGATTTTGTTGGTTTTTTTCCCATCATTTCTGTCTTTTTGTAATTTTGCTTTGCAGACTCATCTTGAATGGAATTATCACTTCATCTTTCCAAGCTACCTTTCTATCTACAACTGATTTTATGGTTGCTCCCACACATGGTCCTGTTCAGTGCTTCAGTCCACAGCAGAGCTTATATGGGTGGTTCAGAATTCTAATCATGTAGTGTTTAAAGTTCATATTTCCCCCCCGGGCTGGGCCCAGATTATTGCTGAGAGGCTATGTCTGCTTACTTCAGGTTTCCCCCAAGTACTCAGCTCTGCATAAGCCATAGTCTAATTTTACCTGTTTTCAGTCTTTTTCATGGAAGAAAGAGCCCCACCATCAGCACTAGTTTAAGGGTTCATCTTATACTGTCTCCCATCTCTCTCCCATCCTCTGTTTTGTATTATTATTATTCTCCCTGCTTTAAAGCTAGGGAGACTCCCAGCTGCCTTTGCACAGCAGACCCAGCAGGAACAGTATCTATTCTAGTTCTTGGTTTTAGCTATACCTTTTTTTGTTTCCCTTTTTTATGTTTTATCTACTGTGTCATGTATTTCCAGAGTGGGAGACAAGGTGCCTCAAAACATGAACTTTTGGCAGCCGTCTCTGGGAAGTCTGTCCCCATTTTTGATGCAGTGGCATAGAGGTAGACCAGGAGCTGGTTTTTTCGCTTTGTCTTTCAGTGACACAAGTCTTCTCAGCGCCCTCCCACAGCAGGAGTGAAGCAACACAGCTCTTTTACATTCTTTGGAAACTTTCGTTTTCTAAATAAGGTTTTGGATTCCGGAGATAGTAGAGTTAGATCTGGGTTTGAATATTAGCTCCATCACTTCATTTGTCTAGTCATTCAAAAAGTATTTTGAGGACCTACTTTGTACTAGAATTGTTCTGGGTTGCCTTGTTTCTTAGGAATTATTTAGTAGCTTTGTAATTTGGGGCAAGTTATTTAACCTCACTGTGCCTTCTTTCTTTGTAAAGTAGGCATAATATTGTTTACCTCATAGGGTTGTTTTAAGGATTAAATTAGATAATAATTTTTTTATTAAGCACAGTAAAAATTAATAAATGTTTGCTGTTACAGTCATGTGCCACATAACGTTTCGGTCAATGATGGACCACATATACGACAGTAGTCCCCATAAGATTAGTGCCATTTAGCCAAGGTATGTAGTGGGCTTTATCATCTAAGTTTGTGTAAGTACACAGTGGTCCCCATAAGATTAGTGCCATTTAGCCAAGATGTGTAGTGGGCTTTAACATCTAAATTTGTGTAAGTACACTCTATGATGTTTGCATGACGACAAAAGTTGCCTAACGACGTATTTCTCAGACGTATTCCTGTCATTAAGCGACACATGACTGTTCTATTTTATTACTTTTTAAAATCTTTTGTAATATCATATTCACTCATTTATTTATTCCACCAATATATAATAAACATCTACTAAGTGCCAGGCACTGTGTTAGTACTGGCAATCTAATGTTGAGCAAATGCAGACATCATCCCTGCTCGGATGGAGTTTCCAGTGTAGAATAAATTTGAGTTATTTCTAGATGTTCCCCCAAACTAAAGTTACTGTTTGGTTAGTGGTATATGGAATACTTGTGAACTCTTACTTGGGTTACTAGATGATGCTTTCCCTATCCTAGTAATTTTGTGACCTAGTAAAATGCCACGGCTTTTGTTGTAGCTCCCAAAGCACACATATTAAAATTTCTTGTCTTTCAGTCAAAATTTGGTAAACTTTCTAAGTTTGCTTAGTTATCTCCATATGTCCTGTTACAACATTGTACTTTTAAAGAAAGCAAGAGCCATATAATAAAACTACTGCTTCAATTATGTTCTGCAAAGATTTCATCCTTCCATTATCTGAATTGTTGGGATTTTTCTTTTTTGTTTTAGATATCAGCTTCTCTGCACAGACTTGTTAGCTATCTCTGTAAGAAGGAAGAATCATGGAATTTTCTGTAAGGCCAATAAAACATTTGGAAGCTTCACGCTTATTTGATAGGGATGCGTAACACACATTTTTAAGCTTTGGTGTTGATAATTATTAAAGTGAAAAGAACTCTCAGTATTTCTAGCCCTTTGTCTAATCTGAAGGCAAGTTCACTTCTAGGCAATACATACAAAGATGTGGGTAGTTAAATCCAAATAAAAATGTTTGAGATGGCCCTAAGCATTCCATGACTGATTACAGAATCAACTTACATATTTTTGTTTTCAGCCATTACTAAAGTGGGATATTTACAATTACATGTTTACAATGAAATATATTTGTGGGGGCAACCAAATTTGTTTTCTACGCTATTTAAAATGTACAAATCTATAGCATATCTTTTGTCAAAAACCAATCGTAGGTATACACCTAGATAATGAAAGTAACATTTCTCTTTTGCATTAATTTTGTATTTCTGATTCATTTATAGAAATTTATTCTAAAGAAATAAATTATTAGGTCAAAGGGTATTAATATTTTAAAGCTCTTGAAGCATAGATTTGTGTGGCCTTCTGGAAAAATTATGCCGTGACCACTAAAAGTATGTGAAAACATCCCATTTCATCAAATGATCTTTGCCAGTAAATGACATTTAATTGTCTCAATTTGCATTTTTATTCATTACTGATATGGTTTAATTTTAATCACATCTATTGGGCGTTTGTTGTTTTACTTTTTTGTGTGTTTGTGAATCATGTTCATGTCAAAAGTTGCTTTTCAATTTTTCAGAGGCATCAAATAATGTCATCTGAAATGTTGCCAGCAGTTATTGAGACTTCTAATGCTGAAAGAAAGCAAGACTTAAGTGATCAAGAGGAGAGCCGGAAGCCAAGATTAGGGGAAGGGTTGGAACCAGTATCTAAACGACAAATGAAGAAGCTAATCAAACAGAAGCAGTGGGAAGAGCAACGAGAACTCCGAAAGTAGGTCTCGAGATGCGTGTGTGCTGCCCCGTTCAGACGTCCAGACGTGTGGAGTGTGGGACTGTGGATGGCCCTTGGACACGTTAAAAGTGATTGTGTTAACTAAACTTGGGGGTAGGCATATTGTTAGCTAACATTGTCAGTTGGCTGTTAAAACTGTATGTTTGAATTATTTTTTTAGCAGTGTTGATGAATTTACACTGTACACTTTTTCTCACCCAGAACCTATTGTGAGTAGCAGCACAATTTCTGAAACAGCTGACTTAGATAAGGGATGTAGTTAGTATCCATGTCCTAGATGTGGAACAAAAATAATCACCTCGGAAAGATCAAACTTGGGCCTAACATTGATTTTGCTAGAACTGTTGCAGGTTTTGGTGAGAGCAGTTAGGCTGCAGCTATTATTGTCCAATGCCAGAATTTACTGGGAGCAAATAAGCTATAGTTAATGTAGATCAGAGAAAAAGTATATGAGATTTTTTTTTATACAATTAATTTGACTTTCTTTTTTTCCCTATACCTTATAAATGTTGCTTGAAAATCATGTAGGGGAAGAATAAAAGAAAAATTCATCATAACTCTCAAATTCAGTATTTATAAAGTTTTCTTAGTAAGTGTGATGCCAATAATAAATGAAATTATTAGTAGTATTGTTTTTGCAAACTCATTTCCTTCCTATCAAAAGTTTTTAGATGGACTACATAAAATTGCTGATGTTTGACCATTTTTGATCCGCAGCAGTGGCAGTTTCATATGGTTCAGCCTGCTGATTCAAAAAAGTAATTGCTTCCTTATCTATTTAGAAGAGGTTTGTAAATATCTGAATATACAAATAACAACAAAAAGTTATTTTAATTACTAATTTTAGACAAAAGCGGAAGGAAAAACGCAAGAGAAAGCAATTAGAGCGGCAAGGTCAACTGGAATCAAACTTAGATGGAAATGACAGAAAACGTATTCGAAGAGGTGTTGTTCACAGTACGCTCCGCCTTATCATTGACTGCAGTTTTGACAGCCTGATGGTATTAAAGGTATGTGAATCATTGTCAGAAAGATCCTGTAGGTAAACTAGGGTGAATAATTCTTGCTTTAAATATGTAATATCACTTTCATATAAATTTGTACTAAAATGTATCTTAAATCATGTTTCTCAAAATCTGTGCCCCCTGAATTTAACTAGTAAATTGCTTTTGTGTATATGTATGTGTATAGACAGAGAGAGAGAGAGAGACCATAATTACATTATAAAACTCGATAACTGCATGTTAATCATAAAGATCTGTGTTTTCGTCATTTGTCCTAATCAAAAAGAAGATAATAAGGGGCCGGCCCGCTGGCGCAGCGGTTAAGTGTGTGCGCTCCGCTTCAGCGGCCCAGGGTTCTTGGGTTCGGATCCCGGGCTCACACTGACGCACCACTTGTCAAGCCATGCTGTGGCGGCGTCCCATGTAAAGTGGAGGAAGATGGGCACAGATGTTAGCCCAGGGCCGGTATTCCTCAGCAAAAAAAGAGGAGGATTGGCATCGGATGTTAGCTCAGGGCTAGTCTTCCTCACAAAAAAAGAAAAAATAGAAGATAAGAAATATGATTTGCTTAATAGAACTAGTTCTTATTTAATAGTTTGAGAAACCTGGTTGTTTGAACAATGCTAGTGAAGAGAACATGCTTTAATTACTTTCCAAACTTTTGGTAACTTACTAAAATAGTAATAGTATGGCTCTGAGAGGTTTTTTTTATCTCTTGTTGCCTCTTAAGAAGTGTACATGTTTGATGAACTAGCATTTTAAGTGGATACGAAATATGAAATAATAGATCACTTACAGAGTATTGATTTTACTTATGGTAATTATTCTGTTAATATATGAGGAAATTGAATGGAAATTATCAGAAAGGACTGTATTTCAAAAGAAAAAATGTACCTATCTAGTCATCCCTTCTGCTTTTTCTGTTCCACTGAGATTGTGGAATGGTCATGGATGAATTTGAAAATGCTGCTTTAAAAATTACACTCTTTTGTAGGACATTAAGAAGCTTCATAAGCAGATTCAGCGCTGTTATGCAGAAAATCGACGAGCACTGCATCCTGTGCAGGTGTGTTTGAGGAATTTAAAACAGACTCCAGTTTCCTCTTATATCTTTCTCAGAAGGTGGTGTAGATAATCATGACTGCCTTTACAAGAGTTTCCAGATAATGAGGAACAAAATGCATATTTGAAAAATGTTTTATTTTTCTACAAAAAAAAGTAAAATATTTTAAACATTTTTTCACATATGTCATTCTCAGACACACTCTGCCCAGTCATCATCAGTCTCGTGCACATTGACCTGCTCATTGGTGTCTTTTTATTAAGGGATATACACGTATTTTCATACCTGTTTGTCAGCTCTCAATTCCTTGCCTTCCGGGGAGTGAGGGAACTCTCCTGCCTAGTGTGTGCTATGGTACCTGTTGGGTAGATTTTTTCTACTTAGAGAATTTTGAGTCACAGATAATTTTGAAAGGTATTTCCTTAGCTAGAGTGAAGGAGTGATTTGTGAGACTAGTGGGCCACTATTACACTATTAAGAGTAGGGTCTTTTTTCTTCCAGAATTTGCTTGAATTCTAGGTGATCTAAAAATTAACACTGGCTCACCGATGTTAAGAACCAGAAACTCTTTTTTTTTTTTTTTGTGAGGAAGATCAGCCCTGTACTAACATCTGCCAATCCTCCTCTTTTTTTTTTTTTTTTTTTTTGCTGAGGAAGACCGGCCCTGGCTAACATCGGTGCCCATCTTCCTCCAATTTTATATGGGACGCCGCCACAGCATGGCTTGCCAAGCGGTGCATCGGTGCTCGCCCGGGATCCGAACCAGCAAACCCCGGGCCGCCACAGTGGAGCACGCACTTAACCACTTGCACCACCAGGCCGGCCCCCAGAAACTCTTAATATATTTTTGGTTAGCTATATTCTTTTGATCAAGTGATAGTAATTTTATATTTTTACATTTTATATTTCTCTCACCCTTGATTAGACTTGAAATAGGTGTCAGGGTTTAGAATCAAAGAAAAATTAGGAAGACTGGACTGGTGAAAAAATAACATTGGTGGCAAAAGAAGGGGAATGGAAACCTGACATGGAGGCAGGGACTTTGTGATCATTAAGGGAGAGGCAGATGATAGGTGCTTGAAAAATGGGATGAAAATGTAGATGGAATATAGAAGTTGGTAGGTTATAAGATACACAAAACATCATTTCTACCACAAACTTATTCTTGTATGTTTAAGGCATATCACAAATTTATTTTTTTTCTAGAATGAAAATATTTTGTGTTTCATTGATGATCAGATGAGTGTATGAGGGAAGTAAAATATTGAACTTTAATAGTCATTTGCTGTCTCTTTTTATGCCTACTAATCTCTTTACAGTTTTACTTGACAAGCCATGGAGGCCAGTTGAAAAAGAACATGGATGAAAATGACAAAGGATGGGTCAACTGGAAGGTAATTAAAATAGATTAACTCTCACATAATTCCAAGTATTTTTATGCTTAAAAGTCTATATTTTTGACCTAAATTCTACATATTGCCAAAAATATAGGAGTCAGCAGTCTCCAAACCCTTTGTATCATGTACCTAAGTCTAAGGTTACAAGACTGGGAGAAGCTAGAGACTGAGATTTCTAGGCCAGCCCTGTGGCTTAGTGGTTAAGTGCGCACGCTCCACTACTGGTGGCCCGGGTTCGGATCCCGGGTGTGCACTGAGGCACCGCTTCTCCGGCCATGCTGAGGCCGCATCCCACATACAGCAACTAGAAGCATGTGCAACTGTGACATACAACTATCTACTGGGGCTTTGGGGGGAAAAAAAGGAGGAGGACTGGCAATAGATGTTAGCTCAGAGCTGGTCTGCCTCAGCAAAAAAGAGGAGGATTAGCATGGATGTTAGCTCAGGGCTGATCTTTCTCGCACAAAAAAAATAAATAAATAAAAATAAAAAGTTCAAAAGAAATATTCTAAAAAAAAAAAAAGAGACTGAGATTTCTATTAGTTTGTACTTGCTCTCATTAAATCTCACTTGCTATTTTACCACCAACCTTAAAACATATTTTTAAAAAAAGGAAAAATTTTAAAGATCTTAATACAATCTCTGCCTAGCAAACTGGCTATCCATTATTTATAAGAATGAAGTCACTCTAAAATTTGGAAATGTGCATGCATTCTGTTTCTTCCAAATCTGAGCTGTCCCATATGGTGTCCACATTCCACACATGGCTGTTGAACTCTTGAAATGTGACTGGTCTGAATTGAGATGTGCTGAAAATGTGAACTATACATTGGATTTCAAAGACTTAGTACCAAAAAAAAGACAGAATGTAACATCTCCTTGAAATTTTAAAAAATATTTATTATATGTTGAAATGATAACATTTTGGGTATATTGTGTTGAAGACAATGTATTATTAAAATTAATCTCACCTGTTTCTTTTTAATTTTACTAGAAGATTCAAAATTACATATGTGGCTCACATTTTTTTTCTGTTGGATGAAACCATTCTCAGTCATTTGCAAAGATGACTAATAGATTGGCTTTGGTACCAATCCCTGAGGGACCCTGTTCTGGTTAGAGAAGTCCTGGGTTATTCCCTTACTTTTTCTCTTTCTCAAAGCCAGTTCTCTTCATGACAAACTTTCCCTGTCACACTCACTAGTCCCGTAATGACTGCATTTATTTTATTAGTAGCCTATAGTGTGAAACATTTTCAAAGGTTTTTTTGAGTTTCAAAGTGCAGCATATTTACCAAGTTTTATGTTGGTGCCTGTTTTCCTGAGACATATTGTAATAAGTTGCAATAGGCATACTTTCAGTTATTTTGTGGCTTATTAAAATTTATTATGTATACCACCAGCTTTCCAGAGAGACATGAATTCACTGGTCTCTAATTACTCAGGTCCCTTTTGGGGCCTTTATTAAGCATAGGGGTCAAATTTTTAATATACCATTTTCCAGAAAAGTGCCTGTTTATTAATCAATAGGTTGTATATTTTAGGTGAGAGGTCTCCTTCATTTTTAATTTCCTTAAAAATTATTGGGTAAATGCCATCTGAGCCTGGTGACAGATCTTCCTTTATTGTGTCAATGTAGTCTGTAAAATTCTGACCGCCAACTGTTGTTCACCTGATCTGACAGTTTTGGTGAAGAGGATTTCAAATGTGTATCTTTGTAAAAGCGGATGCGTGGGATTTATTAAATCTATAAGCCACTTTCTTTTGCGTATTCATGTAGATGTAGAGGAAGTAATTGGAGAAGGCGTTCTTTGGTTGGAGAACAATGTGAGCAAATACATGACAAAAATGCATTTGTTTTGTTGGAACAGAGATAAAGTTAGAAAGGTAGGTTAGTGCCATATTCAGGAAAGAGTTACTAAGTTAAGGAGTTTGAATTTTATCCTACAGATAAAGATAAAACATTGAAAGTAGTGTTTTTAGAAAATGAGTCTGCCATCAGCATGTGGAAGCAAATTGGAGAGATCTGAGGCTAGAGACAAGGAAATAACACTAGGGGCTACTTAAATAATTGAGGTGTGAAGTGATAAGCAGTTGAAGTAGTAGGTTCTAAATAATATATTGTAATGATATTCTTTCAAACTTCCTTTCATATGTTTTTGGATGGGTTTGTCTAGGGAAAAGAATAATAATCATTTTTAGCCAATTTTCTCAAAATCCTTTTAATTAATAACATCTTTGCCCTTGTGTCTTAAAGGATATCCACATCAAACCAGATCATTATAGTGAATTCATAAAGAAAGAAGACCTGATTTATCTTACATCAGACTCACCTAATGTACTGAAGGAATTAGATGAATCAAAGGCCTATGTGATTGGAGGATTGGTAGATCACAACCATCACAAGGTACTATTAAGTTTTCATTTTGCTTTTGCTCATATTTAAAATTGATGTATCAACTTTCTTAATAGTAACAATAATACTAATGATAGCTGATCTTTGTTGAGTGCCTACATATTTCAGTCACCCTCCTAGCTAAGCACAGCATTTCCATCTGTTAGTTTGCTTAATCCTCACTACAGCCCAGTGCAATCAATGCTATTATCGTCTGCATTTTACAGATGAGGAACCAGAGGCACAGGGGAATTCAGTCTAGAATTAATAGTAGTAGGTGGTAAAGCAGATATTTGAAACCAGGCAGATTGTTCCAGAGCCCACATACTTAAATGATATCCTGTATTGATTGAAGATGATGCTGCTAATCGATATCTGGGCCACTGCTAAAATTTATACCACAACTGGTAAATTTATACCAGTTTTTAAATATGTGATTTTCATGGGATGTGTTTTCTATTCTTTTATATTCATACTTTTTCTCTTGCCACTTCCTCACCCTCGTTCTAATGAAAAATTACAGAAATGTACTTTCTAAAAGAAAACATCATTTTGTACTTTGCCAGCTATTTTGCAGCATGCTAAATTCAACCCAACTAAAGAAAAAACATGTTTACCAAGTGTCTGCGGAAGTATCGTCAGCAGAGTTCTGTGAAGTTATTCATTATTCTTGTACAGCACCACTGTGCGGTAGACTTTCTGCAGTGTTGGAAATGTTTACACCATCCTGTCCAGTACAGTAGCTGTGTGGCTGCTGAGCACATGACATGTGCGCAGAATGATTGAGAAACTGAATTTGTTTAAATTATCACTTTAAATTTAATTAGTCACATGTGGCTGCATTTGGACAGTGTAGCTCTATAGCATCATAAGGAATTTTATCAGAATAATCTTTAGCCTTTTTATTTTTTTCGTAGTGGAAAAATTATATTTTGTTATTTATGTAGAACCAAATTTTTTTCTCTCATGTTGTATATTTCTCTGAACTAAAACAATTTTGTTTTCAAGACCAGTTGCCTCAATCTATTATTAATTATTTGTCTCTAAAATATGCAAGCTACTGGTTGAGAAACTTAGCTCTTCCTCCTCTAGTCTGTCTTTTGGCTATTTCAGTTCTGGTTAGACCTAGGCTTTAAGGATTTTAATTTTAAGAAGAGAGAAAATTCATATTCAACATTCTTTTAATTGACAGAAAGAGAAAAATAAAATTTATAGGCAAGTTTTAAAATTTCTCAATTCAAGTTTTCATTTAATTTGTCTTTGTCATTTGTGCCTCTTAGTATTATGTAATGAGACAGAGTTTTATCTTTTACATTCGTGGAAAGAGTAATGGTACTTCTCTAGGAATTCAGTTTGAGTATTTTAAACTGAGAGAAAAGGCAATGTGGGATGGTGAAAAGGTATTTGAGTCAGGAGGCTTGAGCCAGGTTTTCCTATGGTTCTACCCCTGGGGAGCTTTGTGACAGGGCAGGAAGCATGTCTTTGGTTTCCTCATCGTAAACTGGTTAAAACAAATGCCCTAAGCATTCAGACTACTCGTTGTCAAGAGAACATTTCCAAATTAGCAGTTAAACACACACAAACACATGCGCACACTCACTTCTTCAGATAATATTCTCTGAACTAAAGTCTTTTCTAAAAATTGTTTATTCTGTCATAGACTAAGTTAAAATAATTTGATGTTCTAGTCCAAGTTACAGTGTCTTTGTTTTAGGGACTCACCTATAAGGAAGCATCAAATCATGGAATTGATCATGCACAGCTTCCCCTTGGAAATTTTGTGAAGATGAATAGTAGAAAAGTTTTGGCAGTTAATCATGGTAAGCTATAAGGGGATAAACTGAAAATATGCCTGAGTGAACATTGTGAAGAATAATATTATGTTTATGTTTTGGTAGAAAATATATACCTTGCTGGAGATAAAATTGTGAAATATAATCGTGTATAATTTGTTTGAATATAGAAATAATACATGCATATTTTAGAAAATTTTGAAAAGTATAAAGAAAAGTAAATAAGCTGTAATTTCACTACCCAGAGATACTTGGTATTAACTTTTTGGTGTACTTCCTTCCAGTTTTTTTCCTATGCATATATAGTATTTATTACATAATTAGATTTTTACTCTATTGCATAAAATGTTAAAAATCTGGGGTGTTTTTTCCCCATTTATAATTATATTTTTCCGTGTCATTGAATCATTGTTGATGACTATGTAGTGTTCATCATCTGAATATATAATAATTTAACCATTCTCCTGTTGATTTTTTTTCTTTTTACTATTATAAATAACATTTTAATAGGCATTCTTGGACCTAAGTCTTTGCCTAGAGTTTTGCTTTTTAAAAAGTTTTTAATAGAGATTTTTGTTAGAACACAACTTTTTTGGGCTCTTTTTATGTGTTACACACTTTAGCAGGCTCTAGGGAGTTATAGAAATGAACTTATTGATTCAGAGAATGAACTACTTCTAAGACCTTTGCTAGATAGTGGAAATTACTTTTCCATAAAGTAATCCAAATTAACCCTTTAGCAGTGTATTAAAGTGAGAGTACCTTGGAGACAATGTTAATATTCTTTACCTCTAACATAGGAAAAAAAAGCAGGCAAGACGCTTCTCAGAGTGAGTGGCTCTTTATAGGAAAGATAGAAGAAATTTAGATTAATGCTAACTTTTTTTTTCTGTTTTTTATGTTAACACATAAAGGATAAAAGAAGTGAAGGGCATGAAGAATAGGAAGGAAAGGAGAAAGGTCCTCTGTCTGTTGATTATAACTGACAAGGGTAATGGTAAACCTCTGAGTGCCTAAGAACTAGATTCAGGAGAAACTAGAGAAGAGAGAACAGACCTGAGAGCCTTGGGGCCAAATTGGCTCTGAGAGCCAGCAGGAGAAGGAAGTGGTAAGGACAAAGTAGTTACCAGATGTACTAGCACACTTAACACAAAAGCACTGTATTTTAAAATAGAGTATGCAACATTGTGATGAACTCAGCTAAGAAATGTATGGTGTTTGTCTTTGTTGCAGTGTTTGAAATTATTCTGGAATACCTGGAAACAAGAGACTGGCAAGAAGCATTTTTTACTATCTTACCCCAACGGAAAGGAGCTGTTCCCACAGACAAAGCCTGTGAAAGTTCTTCATGTAACAAGAAATCCGCCAGAGTTGAAGGTGGATTGGACAGTGATTCCAGTGAGGAGGAAGATAGCAGAAATGAACTAGATTCACCACGTGAGGAAAAAAAACAGGATGAAGAAAACAGCACTGAATCTGTAGTCAGCTCTGTACCACACTAATGTCATCTGGGGTTTTTTTTTTTTTTTTCTTTCAATTTAGGGAAAAATTAGGAGAAAATGAGGTGCTTCATAGAATATTCGAATTGGAAGAAAATTTCATTTTCTCTTATTTCTGCTGTGAATTTTTAAAACTTTTTTTTAGGGCCGGCCCTGTGGCTTGGTGGTTAAGTGCGCGCGCTGCGATGCTGGTGGCCCGGGTTCGGATCCCGGGTGCGCATCGAGGCACCACTTCTCCGTTCATCCTGAGGCCGAGTCCCACATACAGCAACTAGAAGGATGTGCAGCTACGACATACAACTATCCACTGGGGCTTTGGGGGGAAAAAATAAAATAAATAAAATCTTTAAAACTTTTTTTTATAAAAAGCCCTTATAAGAAATCATTTTTTGTTTTTGCATAAGATTTAAACATGTAAATTTTTTAATAGTTTTCTAAGCCTCTAATAAGAGTTTTTTGAGAATTTTATTTTATTAGTAAACCTTCATTCTCTTATTTACTGGATTTGTATTCTTTAGAATGTACCTTCTGACCTTTCAGTTTTATCATCTTATGTTTATCTCAATGTCTTTCTGACTTATTGTCTACTTATTTATGGAGGCGGATATTCATAAATCTCCTGTAAGTCTACCAAAATATTTTGTATGAGAGGTTACCTTCTATTTGCAGCTTTTATATTCAGTTTCGTTACTTCAGAGGAATATAGTGATTTTAGGAAGAAGTATCAGATTGATAAACTCACCAATTTATCCTTTGAACTGTGGAGCCCATCTCTGTTCCTCCTTTGTGAGGCCTTTTCACCATTCTAAAAGCAGTCGCTAAAGACTTAAGAACCTCTTTAAGATATTTTCTTAATTCCAATAGTGGTGATAAATTATTTCAATTACAAAATTTAATTTTTCAGGCTAGATTATTTTAAAAGGCTGTTGAAGGATCAATTTTGTCTTTACCTAAATTTAAAAACAGCTCTTAGCAGCTATCCTTTCCTTCCATATATACTTTTTTTAAATAAAATATCTGTTGGTTCTTAAAGTGTATAAAGTTAACTTGATATGTGCATCTGCCTACTATCATATAATAATATTCAAGCTAATGTAAATGTAATGTAAATAATATAAGCATGTGTGAAAATATGCATATAATTGTATATATATCTGTCCACAGTGTGTATGCTGCTCAGTTATTAACTGATGATAACAGGATTGAGTTGCCATATATCTGTTATTAGTGTGAATGACTGTGTTGAACAACACTAAGGAATTTGAATTTCATAAAGTGCAAAAATCCATAACTAAACATTTATATGAGGACATTAGCGAGGGGAGATGGGGCTAAAAGGAGATGTTTCAGTTTCCTGCCAGTAAATGTAGAGCAGTTATGTCTAAAGTGATTGTTCTTTGTCACAGCCAAAGTCAGATTTCAGAACCCTTCACTGAGTTTGGATAAATTAAGTTTCTATTCTTTTTACTAATTGACATCTCAAATTATATACACATTCTGTAGAAGGTTCACTAGGTTTAGTATGGATGTTCACTGTCTCTTACTTCTTGTTGCTTTATTCTTAGTAATCTATTATAGTTATCCATTTAAAGGAAGGTATGTAAGCAAGCTGTGCAAATAAAAAAAGCCCCTGCAATTCTAGAACAAAACTTATATCTTAAGTTGTATTTTTCAAAGTTTCAGGTTTTTCTGAGTATATATGGTTTAGTAGCATGAAATATTAGGCCTTTTAATTAATTTATTCCATATAGAATAAAGCTCAGTTTAATTTTGAAAGGTGGGAAGAATCATAGGCACTGTGTAGTTTAATTTTCACTGAGTGTAGAACTGCCATAACAATTACCACAAACTGGGTGGCTTAAAACAACAGAAATTTATTCTCTTACAGTTCTGGAGGCTGAAGGTCCAGGATCAAGGTGTTGGTAGGGTCGTGTTCCCTCAGAAGGCTCTAGGGAAGAACCCTTCCTTGTCTCTGCCTAGCTTTGGGTGGTTGCTGGCAATCCCTGGTGTTCCTTGGCCTGCAGCTGCAGCACTCTAGTCTCTTTTGTCATCACATGGCTTTCTACCCTCTGTCTTTCGTGCCTGTATCGGTGTCCCTCATATAACGATAGCAGTCATTGGATTAGGGTTCACCATAATCTAATATGGCCTCACGTTAACCTGATTACATTCAAAGACCCTATTTCCAAATAAGGTCACATCCATAGGTACCAGATAATAGGATTTGAACATGTCTTTTGGGTGGACACAATTCTATCCACTACAAGTCCGTATCTTGTTCAGGCTGTTGACAAGAAGACAAAGATTACAATTAGAAATAACTAATGTTGGAGGTATTCAAAAATTTGGTTTTTTAAAATAGTAATCTTTTTTTCTTGATGTATTCTTTTTCTCAACATTGTTTTGGTTTATTGAAGTGCCTTATTATTTAAAACTTCGGTAATATTAAAGACATTGGTATTGGAACTTAATGAAGGTAGGGAATTCAGTTAGTACTTAAATGCATCAAGAGGAGATATGTCTCCTGAAATAATAGGATTTTCTCATTTCATTTCTTTAAAAACCTGTGGTCTTCATAAAGGAGAAGGGGCACATTCATACGGGAAGGGGCATTCTTCAGACTGATTGTCCAGTGATCAGTGTGTTGCCTGTTGTCTTAGAGCGTTTGAAAATACTTAGAGTTGGAAGAGCAAAAAGGGAAACAGGAAGCAATTCTGAAAGAATGTCTTTTAGGAAGTGAATGAACAATTATGAAACCCACCAATTACTGACCATTACAAAATAAAGTGATATATCATTTCACTTTATAGATGGAAAGGGTTGCTGAGATGATACAGATAAAAGAGAAGAATTGTTCTGGGCCAGCCCCGTGGCTTAGCAGTTGAGTGCGCGCGCTCTGCTGCTGGCGGCCCGGGTTCGGATCCTGGGGGCGCACCAACGCACTGCTTCTCCGCCGATGCTGAGGCCGCGTCCTGCATACAGCAACTAGAAGGATGTGCAACTATGACATACAACTATCTACTGGGGCTTTGGGGGGAAAAATAAATAAATAAAATTAAAAAAACAAAAGGTTCTTAGAGCACTGAGAACATCTACAGACAACTGTTGTAAAAAAAAAAAAAAAAGAATGGCAGGGGTTAGAATTAATGACAGCAGTGGCCTATAGTGCTCTTTAAACTTTGGTCTCAATTAGCATAGAGATGTTTGTCTCTGTTTTCCTAGCTCCTTGCCAGACACACGGAGTGGGCACTTAATAAACGTGAAGGGGAGAACCAGAGACAGAATCGAGATAATACAGTTAGTGGAAAGAGGTGGCTTAAATCTCAGCACCGCTACTTGTTAGTTGTGTGACTTTGGGAAACTTATTCACCCTTTGTAATTCTCAGTGTCCTCATTGGTAAATGGGAATGTTATCCCGTTTATCCTGTTTCTCAGGTCAAGCAAGCAATTGGTTTGAAACCAAACAGCAGCTAGCTTGATAATGCTATATCTATTGACATTTCTTCATTTATTGCCTCATTTCCTCTGTTTCTCACTCTTCCTTTTTGATGTTGCCTGCCTGGAAAAAGTAGTAACATATAAATAAGCCTTTGTTTCAGGCTCTGCTTTCTAGGGAATCTAGGCTTAGATAAGATTTTAAAAATGCAAACTTTGTAAGTTGTCAGAATGAACACTCATTAAACAAAATATGGAAATCAGATCATTTAGTGAAACATTCAAAAAAGCAATAAAAACAGAATGCTAACGTAAAATGCGGTAACCACACAAGACCATATCTCTCTGTCCTATCAGCAAATATCCATGTTCTAAAATCACTCAAATTTGATTAAAAAAACTCAAGACTCAAATATATGCTGTATTTAAATAAAATTACTCAACAATGTTGAAAATAAAGGAATAGAGAAAAGGAGTCAGGCTAATAATAAAAAGAAAGAGAAGACAAAAGTCACAATTTTAACATTGGGTAAGGTTCAACACACTATAATTACACAAGGATAGGAGAGTATGTTGTAATGTTGAAGATCCTTGGTTCAGTCCTTAGTGAAGAGCTGACAGTTAAGAATATCTATGCACCGAGGGCGAAGGCAAGATGGCAGCGTAAGCAGACTCTGAACTCATCTCCTCCCACGGACACAGCCAATTTACAACTACTTGTGGAAAAATTACCCCTGAGAGAGAACTGAAAACTGGATAAAAGGAACTCCTGCAACAAAGGACAATCCTAGTTGAGGTGGAAGAGGCAGAAGCTCCCTTCTGGAGAGAAAAAATGCCGCCTTCACAAGCCGCAGTGCCTCACAGCCACCTGGGAGCAGCCAAAAGGTACGCAGCCCTCCCTGGAGGCGCGGGGCCCTGAGCCGGGGAGCGCCGCTGCTGGGGGCATTTTGTGGACCCAGCACAATCAAGACGAGTGGCATAATATCTGACTTTGCTGCTACTAAAACATTGGGGAGCACCCCCAGAAAAGCTGGTTCACAAAGAAACTAAAACCGGCTCTTAAAGGGCCCCCACGCAAACTCACCCAGTTCAGAAAGCAACCTAAAATCACCAGAAAGAAAGGTGCACAGTGCTTTGGTGAAAAGAGACTCACCTGATAGGCCCTGAGTGTATCTCGGTGAGAGGTGAGACCTCGCCAGGAACTGGGACATTGGTGGCGGCCATTGTTGTGGCCTGGTGTGGGCGTGCTGACACAGATGCCATTGGAGTTCTCCCTGGGGCCTGCTAGCCCAGGGTCTGCCCCACCCACTAG